CAAGCCACAGATTTATTCCAGCACTGAGTCTTTCAAGAATGTTATTCGGATACTTCAGCTCTTTTGTAGAAAGCGTCTTCCCATGTCACGTTTACATACTTCAAGAGCGATGACTTCCAGACATTTCATATCCCCAAAGAATCCTTCAGACAAATTTCCCGCCTTAGAAAATACCAAGAGTATAAATCATGGATATTAATTCCATCAGGCTGTACATTGAACAAAAACAAGAAGTGGAGGGGAAAAAAACCAACCACACCATCATTGAGAAAGCTGCAGTTAGTTGTTGGGCTAAGTTCTAAAGTTGCCTTTGAAACTCCAACAGCTCAGGTAGGAAAGCAAGCAAGATGGCAACTCCATGGTTTGTTTGACGAGCATTTTTTGATATAAAGAAAAGTGTCTTGTAGACGTCTGTAGAGATTCTCAGTCCTCCAGGTTATGGTTGTCCCAAAGGTGCTTTTTCAGGAGGCAACTTTGGACTTTCTATTTTTCCTCTGAAGACGTTTCTCTTCTTGTCAAAGAAGCTTCTTCAGTTCTGACAGGATCGTGGGGAATGGAAGGATTTGTATTCCTTGCAGACAGCTGGTCATTTGCATCCTTTTAGAGGGTCGTTGACGCCACTTGGAGGTTTATCTGTGTCCTCAGGGTCACCTGAGTGGTGTTCCTGGTTCTTGTAGTCTGCAATTTTTTTTCCTCTGGAAATCCATTCCTGCTCCCACACCATTCAAAGGGTGTTCATCCCAAATTGTATAGTTAAAAGTCTTGCAGACCTGTCTTGCAGACGTTTCATGACCCAACTAGGTAATGTCATCAGTGCCCGAAGGAAGGGGTTTGGCTCTCTGTTTATATTAGAAGTTGCTTACCCTATCACTCAAGGAACTACCAACATTCAAAAAGTCCAATGTGGGAATTTAGGTCTCTTGGAGCAAAGAGAAATTGAATTAAGCTCCGTGGAATTGCAGTAAGACAGACAGGTATGGAGAGAGACATAGAAATAGAGAGAGCCAGAGAGAAGAATGTTAGGGATAACATTGTTTACCCTAACTGGTTTGGGTAAAAATAATAAATATGGTATCATGGTTTGTTAGTTAAAGTGTGTGTAACTTTAACAGCAAGAATGTAATTAAGGGTGTGGTTGTAAAAGCACTATATATGAAGCAAGGCAAATGCAGCTCTCTCTCTCTCTGGCTTACTGATCCCTAATTACTGGATGGATTGATGACTGCGTTCTTGTAGGAGTGTTGATTTTTCTCAACGGAGAGAAGATAAGATTGGACTGATTTATTGTAAGTGTACTGACATTGGCTATTCAACACGGACTTTTGCAAATAGAGTATCCCTGACAAGACTTGACTGAAATTGATATATGACTAATGGACTGTTTATTTTGACTATGCTATAATTCTTAAATGGAATAAACAATATTTTTGATAGCACAAGCGTATCTGTATTTTTACTGTGTGTTAACTAGAAAACTTATCTCACACATTTACCTGTCTTCCTATCTGACTTCGCTGCACGTTCTGTTTAGTTTGTTTTCCTTAACACCCGTTGGGGAATCCAGGCTTAACAAAGATTCCATCCCGTTATATACTGGTTCCTTCCTTAGAAATTCGAATGTTAATATCAATTAATCAGAACAGAGATGGAAGGGACCTTGGAGGTCTTCTAGCCCATCCCCCTGCTTCAGCAGGAGACCCTATACCATTTCAGACAAGTGGCTGTCCAGTCTCTTCTTCAAAACCTCCAGTGATGGAGTACCCACAACTTCTAGTGGCAAGCTGTTCCACTGGTTAATTATCTTCGCTGTTAGGAAGTTTCTCCTTAATTCCAGGTCCCTTCTCTCCTTGGTTAGTTTCCATCCATTGTTTCTTGTCTTGCCTTCTGGTGCTTTGGAGAATAAATTGACCCCCCTTTTCTTTGTGGCAGCCCTTCAAATACTGGAAGACTGCTATCATGTCACCCCCAATTCTTCTTTTCTCTAGACTGGCCATACCCAAATCCTGAAATGGTTCTTCATATATTTTTGTCTCCAGGCCTTTAATCATGTTAGCTGCATTTCTTTGCACTTTTTCCAAAGTCTCAACATCTTTTTTTGCGATGTGATGACCAAAACTGTTTGCAGTATTTATCATTTATGTATATATTATTTAAATATCTCTATCTCTATCTCTGTCTGTCTCTCTGTCTGTCTCTCTGTCTGTCTCTCTATCTCTCTATCTCTCTATCTATCTATCTATCTATCTATCTATCCATCCATCCATCCATCCATCCATCCATCCATCCATCCATCCATC